GACGTTCATTTTCAATGTGTTGTTTGACAAGGGTGTTCAAACATGATTTTGTGTAACAATCTCTTTTTCGCATCTTTTTGACATCCACTGGTTTTGGGTTGTTTTTGGTAGTTTTAGAAATATGAGTATTGGTGGAGTTGTGTTGTATTGATAATGAATAAGTGATGTAGATATTGTAATGATGGTGATGAGATGATGAATGAAAGATGTTTTTGTAAATATATGTTTGCTATATTTTTTAGATTGATCATGTAAATACTATTTTTGAATGGATGTTGTTTTGAGTTATTCTGTAAAAAAAAATTAGGTTTGTAATATATGTCTAAAATACAGGTACAAAAAAAATATGGGGTATATGCGGAAAAAAAGTAAAGTATTTCACCACGGTTGTTTAAGAAGACCGTGGTGATAGGTAGTGCGCCAAATAATATATACCATATAACCACTGAAAATCGAATTCATGACATTTATATATTACACAATGGTTGTTTACTACAACCGTTGTGATAGATAGCGTGCTACCTAGTTTATCACAACGGTCGCACGTCCGTTGGGGAATACATCATACTTACAATCAAACCCTACCTCACAATGGTTGGTCAACCTTGATGGTATCCCTTTTCCAACTGTTGCGAGAGGGTTTTTTGTAGTAGCGACTGCTTGATCTAATTTCAGTAATTGCTTGACTTCATGCATATTTAACAACCCATGTTGTCCTCATCAAAACCATAACATCATTAGGGATAGACAAATCTTTCTTATCTACGTGCTTTGATCACTTCTTGATTATATCTGCAAGCACATAGTTCCACATTCTTCCCCTTTTATATGATGACAACGCATATCACATGGAGGTGGTAAAAGAAAAGATACATGTCTTCAACCTAATTAGTTTGAAACGGTTGAGTCAATAACCACAGAGGAAATGGGCTAATTAGTTTGATATAAGTGTGATTTATATGTCATGAAACACATGTTAAACATTGTTTCTGTCAGCATTGTTGATTCTTGGGATCAAGTATATATATATATATATTTACAATAACATATTAATGATTTAGATTAATATCAATGAATACTCATTGGATTTATAGAGCAAGTATGAAAAATTGAGTGAAACGAACATCCGAGTTATACTTTTATAAAAATACAGAATTACTCAACAACTTCCAATTTTGAATACGCAAGAACATAAATATATAAAAGAATAATTTTAATATTGAAATTGAAAACTATTGAAAGACATCTTGAATAGGTTGTTTGTGATCAAGGAAGAATTAGTAAAATTAGTTGACAACATTGCAAATACTTCTAATGATTCCGGCGGATCCAGTTAATGGTAGAATATCTCCTATCTTTATCATAGCAGCTGCAAAGTCGGATTTGAAAGATGTAGGATTTTGGCTGTATTGAGAAACAATAGAATCCGTAGATCCTCCGCTGAAAAGAACTTGGTCAGATTGCAGAAGACCCTTCTTTTGAATTAAATTCTTAAAGTAGTTGTTGTCAAAAGAATTTGGTGTAACCAAGTCGAGTGCCGCCAACTTCTGATTGTTTGAAGTGGAACTGAAAGCCATCTTGAATAGGTTGTTTGTGATCAAGGAAGAATTACTAAAATTAGTTGACAACATTGGAACTAGTCTTACTAATTAGTGATATTAATCAATTGATAGTGTGACTAGTGTGGTGATTCTTTTTGATCATTATCATTTCCAAAAGGCTTGACGCATATCCGGTCTTCTAATAACGGTTCGTTATAGACGGTACTTTTCCACGGCCGCTTCCGCATATCAAAATATTAAAACCAATTTTTAATTGGCAGCGCCGACTGATTTTTTAATTGGGATCTATTTAACCCCCCCTTCTAGATTCGGGCCATCGTCTAACATGCTTGAGTTCATGCATATTAAACAACCCATGTTGTCATCATCAAAATCATGACATCATTAATGATAGACAGATCTTTCTTATCTATGTGCTTTGAGTCAGTAACCACAGAGGGACTGACCTAATTAGTTTGATATAAGTCTGATTTATATGTCATGAAACACCCGTTAAACATTTTTTCTGTCAGCATTGTTGATTCTTGGGATCAAGTATATATATTTACAATAACATATTAATGTTTCAGATTAAAATCAATGAATACTCATTGGGTTTATAGAGCAAGTATGAAAAATTTAGTGAAACGAACATCCGAGTTATTTTATTGGCCCTTGTGGTTTACTTAGAGGGTCTTGCTCTGATAGTGTAACATCAGGTTGGGGTCTTTGAGTCAAACTATATTTTATTGAGTTTTTGTGTTATGTTGTTTGCCTTGCGCCGCAAGGAAAACTTTGGATTATTACCTTTTTGAGTTCCGCTACCTTTTGAACACTTTTGAGTAATTTTGAGAAAACCCGTTGTTTACGGAGCATTTACTATATTTGAATTATTGAGAAATATCCGCCCTTTTGAGATGATTTCATTGCGTTCAATATTTTACTCTGATAAATATGATTGATTTGCCATTATATTTGTGAGGTAGAAAAAGTTGTTACAATTTTGCCCTTATCTGTCGATTCATACCTTTATTCTCCATGAAATTTTTGAAACCTCATTCTTCAAGCGAGGTGCAACCGATCTTGGTGTTGTTTCTCCCATAATAACAACTCCAAAAATAGTTACCTTTTGGTGATTAGGGGTTCATATGAAAGTCATGTTATTCAGATTATTTTACAGTCGATCATGTGAAGAAACATGTCTTCAACCTAATTAGTTTGAAACAGTTGAGTCAGTAACCACAGAGGGAATAACCTAATTAGTTTGATATAAGTGTGATTTATATGTCATGAAACACAGGTTAAACATTGTTTCTGTCAGCATTGTTGATTCTTGGGATCAAGCATATATATTTATAATAGCATATTAATGATTTAGATTAATATCAATGAATACTCATTGGATTTATAGAGCAAGTATGAAAAATTGAGTGAAACGAACATCCGAGTTATACTTTTATAAAAATACAGAATTACTCAATAACTTACAATTTTGAATACGCAAGAACACAAATATATAAAAGAATAATTTTAATATTGAAATTGAAAACTATTGAAAGACATCTTGAATAGGTTGTTTGTGATCAAGAAAGAATTTGTAAAATTAGTTGGCAGCATTGCAGACACTTCTAATGATTCCGGCGAATCCAGTTAATGGTAGAATATCTCCCATCTTTATCATAGCAGCTGCAAAGTCGGATTTGAAAGATGTAGGATTTTGGCTGTATTGAGAAACGATAGAATCCGTAGATCCTCCGCTGAAAAGAACTTGGTCAGATTGCAGAAGACCCTTCTTTTGAATTAAATTCTTAAAGTAGTTGTTGTCAAAAGAATTTGGTGTAACCAAGTCGAGTGCAACCAACTTCTGATTGTTTGAAGTGGAATTGAAAGCCATCTTGAATAGGTTGTTTGTGATCAAGGAAGAATTAGTAAAATTAGTTGACAGCATTGGAACTAGTCTTACTAATTTGTGATATTAATCAATTGATAGTGTGACTAGTGTGGTGATTCTTTTTGATCATTATCATTTCCAAAAGGCTTGACGCATATCCGGTCTTCTAATAACTGTTCGTTATAGACAGTACTTTTCCACGGCCGCTTCCGCATATCAAAATTTTAAAACCAATTTTTAATTGGCAGCGCCGACTGATTTTTTAATTGGGATTTATTTAACCCCCCCTTCTAGATTCGTACCATCGTCTAACATGCTTGAGTTCATGCATATTAAACAACCTATGTTGTCATAATCAAAATCATGACATCATTAATGATAGACAGATCTTTCTTATCTATGTGCTTGAGTCAGTAACCACAGAGGGACTGACCTAATTAGTTTGATATAAGTGTGATTTATATGTCATGAAACACCTGTTAAACATTTTTTCTGTTAGCATTTTGATTCTTGGGATCAAGTATATATATTTACAATAACATATTAATGTTTTAGATTAAAATCAATGAATACTAATTGGGTTTATAGAGAAAGTATGAAAAATTTAGTGAAACGAACATCCGAGTTATTTTATTGGCCCTTGTGGTTTACTTAGAGGGTCTTGCTCTGATAGTGTAACATCAGGTTGGGGTCTTTGAGTCAAACTATATTTTATTGAGTTTTTGTGTTATGTTGTTTGCCTTGCGCCGCAAGGAAAACTTTGGATTATTACCTTTTTGAGTTCCGCTACCTTTTGAACACTTTTGAGTAATTTTGAGAAAACCCGTTGTTTACGGAGCATTTACTATATTTGAATTATTGAGAAATATCCGCCCTTTTGAGATGATTTCATTGCGTTCAATATTTTACTCTGATAAATATGATTGATTTGCCATTATATTTGTGAGGTAGAAAAAGTTGTTACAATTTTGCCCTTATCTGTCGATTCATACCTTTATTCTCCATGAAATTTTTGAAACCTCATTCTTCAAGCGAGGTGCAACCGATCTTGGTGTTGTTTCTCCCATAATAACAACTCCAAAAATAGTTACCTTTTGGTGATTAGGGGTTCATATGAAAGTCATGTTATTCAGATTATTTTACAGTCGATCATGTGAAGAAACATGTCTTCAACCTAATTAGTTTGAAACAGTTGAGTCAGTAACCACAGAGGGAATGACCTAATTTGTTTGATATAAGTGTGATTTATATGTCATGAAACACATGTTAAACATTGTTTCTGTCAGCATTGTTGATTCTTGGGATCAAGCATATATGTTTATAATAGCATATTAATGATTTAGATTAATATCAATGAATACTCATTGGATTTATAGAGCAAGTATGAAAAATTGAGTGAAACGAACATCCGAGTTATACTTTTATAAAAATACAGAATTACTCAATAACTTACAATTTTGAATACGCAAGAACATAAATATATAAAAGAATAATTTTAATATTGAAATTGAAAACTATTGAAAGACATCTTGAATAGGTTGTTTGTGATCAAGAAAGAATTTGTAAAATTAATTGGCAGCATTGCAGACACTTCTAATGATTCTGGCGGATCCAGTTAATGGTAGAATATCTCCCATCTTGATCATAGCAGCTGCAAAGTCGGATTTGAAAGATGTAGGATTTTGGCTGTATTGAGAAACGATAGAATCGGTAGATCCTCCGCTGAAAAGAACTTGGTCAGATTGCAGAAGACCCTTCTTTTGAATTAAATTCTTAAAGTAGTTGTTGTCAAAAGAATTTGGTGTAACCAAGTCGAGTGCGGCCAACTTCTGATTGTTTGAAGTGGAACTGGAAGATGGACAACCACGTTGACGAGTGCTAGCGAATCCAGCATCTATGTCACTAGCATTGTTGTATATCCTATCACGAAATGTAAAACATTGAGCTTGTCCGATTGTATGCGCACCTAAGCTAGTTAAAACAAAATTGATTAATAAAAGTATATGTTTAGTCCAAAAGTAAAAATATGGATGTTTGAAAGAAATGAGTTAGTACCGGATAGAGCAACCATGTCTTTGGCAGTGAGACCTTTAATCGAAAATTTAGATATAAGAGTTTGAAGATCGTCAGAAAATAAAGGAAGGTCAGTATTGGCCAAGGTTTTACTTGCGGTAGTAGAATCTCTTCTTCCAAGTTTGAGTGTCCAGGATGGACCACCTACCTGTAAATATGAAAATATGAATATATATTGATGAAAAGATGTAATAATAGTATATCAAGCATGCAATGCAAATGGTAAACTTACAACGAAGGATGCATCACGTGCGGCAACAGCTAGTATGTCTGCACAAGACACAACTCCGGGACATAGTTTCTCTAGCTGTGATTTTGCATTATCAATGACTTGAAATCCTCTTACTGAGTTAAGATTTGGAAGTGCAGTCTTTTCGCTCTGGATTGTGGTAGTGTCATCGAGCAAAATGGATGCATCACAGCCCTGCACAAAGCAGTCATGAAAATGAAGGCGAATGAGAGATGCAGCCATGCGACGCTCTTTAGAGACAGCAGTACGAATGGCAGTTCTAATGGTGGTTAGTGCATCGGGGCATGTAGTGTCGTAAAATGTAGAAGACAACTGTGCATCACATATTGTGGCTAGCAGCAGCAATGTAACAAGAGAACTAGTAGTAGTGATCATTCTATAAGCCATGTAAGTGTTGATTGATGATTGAATTATATGAAATGAAGAAATGATTGATGATTGAATGTTAGCAAGATAATGAATTATATGAAATGAAGAAATGATTGATGATTGAATGTTAGCAAGATAATGAATTATATGAAATGAAGAAAGGATATCATGCATATATATTGCGAGAGAGAAAGTGTCATGGTCACTGATGTCCGCTAGCTTCAACGCGTTGCACTGCAAAGCTTTGCTAATTCGCTCCTCAACCTTTTCCATATTTACAATTCTGACCAATTCTCCTTTGGTTGGTTGGTTGACAAATAGTATTATTGTTTCTTGCCGGTTCATCACATCCATGCCATCTCTACGTAAATAAATACTTTTCTATATATTTTCCTTTGAATACTAGTATGTCTTAATAATTCAATTTTTTTTTCATGAGTCAAAATCTATTATTTATTATTAACACTATTCCCTAACATAACAATTGACAACTTCCATTTTCTTTTTTGGATAACCGTATTTCATTCATTCTCACATTCTTTCACATTTATGTATTTTATGGACAACCATACTGATCTGACCTGATCAAAAGAAGGTCGCAGGACGGCCACACGTTGCTGGGCTTCTGCCTGTTCTACGGCGCTGAGGATAAAGTGGGGGGGGGGGGGGGGGGTTGTACCTGCAAGGCACTCCGATGCTAAAGTAAGTGATTTGGACGGAGTGAGAGCAAAGTACAGAAAGGGTAAGATGTGAATTACCTGACTCTCTTGTGAAAGAGGGTATTTATAGAGACTCCAGCGCTGGGCCGACTTAAGAAGTCACACGGTGACAAATTCGTAAATATTTGAAACTTTGTTATGTCGTGTCTATGTTGACATGAGGAATCAAACAGATGACCTCAGCTTCCCAAAAATGTAAATTTACCACCAAGCTAGCTAACAATTATGATATATTTATCGAAAATATATTATATATAATTAAAATAAATTTTAGTTAATGAATTTATTTTTTGACAAATACCAAACCACCACTGAGTGAATTTCTTAGGTTCTGCAGTGTGCCTCTATTATACATTTGAATTTTGGTTTTAATAAATTTTCCCCTCATATTTGTGTCATTCACATAATTTAATCATTTAGTCATAAATCAAGTGAAAACACAATTGAAAAATTTAAGAGTGTGAACACTTAGTTGAGCAGAAAATTCCTTTTAAACACTTAGTGAAAACATTAAAATTCGAGTGCCGCCAACTTCTGATTGTTTGAAGTGGAACTGAAAGCCATCTTGAATAGGTTGTTTGTGATCAAGGAAGAATTAGTAAAATTAGTTGACAGCATTGCAAATACTTCTAATGATTCCGGCGGATCCAGTTAATGGTAGAATATCTCCCATCTTTATCATAGCAGCTGCAAAGTCGGATTTGAATGATGTAGGATTTTGGCTGTATTGAGAAACGATAGAATCCGTAGATCCTCCGCTGAAAAGAACTTGGTCAGATTGCAGAAGACCCTTCTTTTGAATTAAATTCTTAAAGTAGTTGTTGTCAAAAGAATTTGGTGTAACCAAGTCGAGTGCCGCCAACTTCTGATTGTTTGAAGTGGAACTGAAAGCATCTTGAATAGGTTGTTGGTGATCAAGGAAGAATTAGTAAAATTAGTTGACGGCATTGGAACTAGTCTTACTAATTAGTGATATTAATCAATGATAGTGTGACTAGTGTGGTGATTCTTTTTTATCATTATCATTTCCAAAAGGCTTGACGCATATCCGGTCTTCTAATAACGGTTCGTTATAGACGGTACTTTTCCACGACCGCTTCCGCATATCAAAATTTTAAAACCAATTTATAATTGGCAGCGCCGACTGATTTTTAATTGGGATCTATTTAATCCCCCTTCTAGATTCGGGCCATCGTCTAACATGCTTAGGTTCATGCATATTAAACAACCCATGTTGTCATCATCAAAATCATGACATCATTAATGATAGACAAATCTTTCTTATCTATGTGCTTTGAGTCAGTAACCACAGAGGGACTGACCTAATTAGTTTGATATAAGTCTGATTTATATGTCATGAAACACCTGTTAAACATTTTTTCTGTCAGCATTGTTGATTCCTGGGATCAAGTAATATATTTACAATAACATATTAATGTTTTAGATTAAAATCAATGAATACTCATTGGGTTTTATAGAGCAAGTATGAAAAATTTAGTGAAACGAACATCCGAGTTATTTTATTGGCCTTGCGGTTTACTTAGAGGGTCTTGCTCTGATAGTGTAATATCAGGTTGGGGTCTTTGAGTCAAACTATATTTTATTGAGTTTTTGTGTTATGTTGTTTGCCTTGCGCCGCAAGGAAAACTTTGGATTATTACCTTTTTGAGTTTCGCTACCTTTTGAACACTTTTGAGTAATTTTGAGAAAACCCGTTGTTTACGGAGCATTGACTATATTTGAATTATTGAGAAATATCGTCCTTTTGAGATGATTTCATTGCGTTCAATATTTTACTCTGATAAATATGATTGATTTGCCATTATATTTGTGGGGTAGAAAAGGTTGTTACAATTTCGCCCTTATCTGTCGATTCATACCTTTATTCTCCATGAAATTTTTGAAACCTCATTCTTCAAGCGAGGTGCAACCGATCTTGGTGTTGTTTCTCCCATAATAACAACTCCAAAAATAGTTACCTTTTGGTGATTAGGGGTTCATATGAAAGTCATGTTATTCAGATTTTTTTTTACAGTCGATCATGTGAAGAAACATGTCTTCAACCTAATTAGTTTGAAACAGTTGAGTCAGTAACCACAGAGGAATGACCTAATTAGTTTGATATAAGTGTGATTTATATGTCATGAAACACATGTTAAACATTGTATCTTTCAGCATTCTTGATTTTTGAGATCAAGTATATATATATATTTACAATAGCATATTAATGATTTAGATTGATATCAATGAATACCCATTGGATTTATGGAACAAGTATGAAAAATTTAGTGAAACGAACATCTGAATTATACTTTTATAAAAATACAGAATTACTTAACAACTTACAATTTTGAATACACAAGAACACAAATATATAAAAGAATAACTTTAATATTGAAATTGAAAACTATTGAAAGCCATCTTGAATAGGTTGTTTGTGATCAAGGAAGAATTAGTAAAATTAGTTGGCAGCATTGCAGACACTTCTAATGATTCCGGCGGATCCAGTTAATGGTAGAATATCTCCCATCTTTATCATAGCAGCTGCAAAGTCGGATTTGAAAGATGTAGGATTTTGGCTGTATTGAGAAACGATAGAATCCGTAGATCCTCCGCTGAAAAGAACTTGGTCAGATTGCAGAAGACCCTTCTTTTGAATTAAATTCTTAAAGTAGTTGTTGTCAAAAGAATTAGGTGTAACCAAGTCGAGTGCGGCCAACTTCTGATTATTCAATTCTTTTTTCAATTTTTTATTAATTCAATTTTTTTCATGAGTCAAAATCTATTATTTATTATTAACACTATTCCCTAACATAACAATTGACAACTTCCATTTTCTTTTTTTTGTTTATAAGTGAGTATCATAGGTTTTAAATGCATTTTTTTTTGTTGATATTTTAGAGACTTTGTTAAATACTCATTTTATTAAATAAAATAGTTACACAGATAAAAATCAGATTCTAATTTTTCAATATTTGCACCAGATAGAGATTGCATAAATTAAACAGAAAACTCTCTGAAAATGTGCGACAATGCAGCCCTTTCACATAAACAACTTGAAGACTAGAACATATAATTTTTACAGCATCATAAAAAACAATAATGCGCCAAAAGAAGAATTTTGGTGTAAGAAGTTATTATAGAAATTTTGGATCATAAATGTAATATTGCATGTGTTAGGGCCATTATTTAACTAGTCAAAACTACAGTGGTCTAATTAATATTAAGTATATGGTTAAAAGCATAAATGTCATGAAATATGAGATTATTATGTAGATATCATAAGTCAATATCTAATTTGATGAGGGGTCAAATTAGAATATTGAAAAGTAAGAAATAACCCTAAGGTTATTTATAGGGGTTATGATCCCCATTTGTAGAACGATTAGAAAGTACGGCCCATCAGAAGAAAATAAATCTCTCTTAATCCCCATCAGAGGAGATTCAAGGAGGCATAAGAAACTCTACAATTGAAAGATCACATACTTGACAACCTTCAACGATTTTCAATGGCAAGCTCAGGTACACTTCTGCTTTTTATTTTTTGATTGAATTCTGATAAGGGGTTAAAGGAGACAAGTTGATGGTATATTGACTCATAGAGATTATTTTAGATTTATGTTCTTGATTTCTATATTGATAGAAATAATAAGGTTATAAACAAATCTAATAGTTATCTGGTCCAAATATTGCACGCATCCAATTTCTAGAAGTTATTTGATCTAACCATTGAATACATCCAACTTCTAAAGGAATTATTTGTTCCAACTATTGAAAAAATGTTTTTTTTGCACTTGCAATCTATCATAGAGAACTTTTTTAAGCTTCTAAATACAACAATAACAACACCAACACCATTTTATGAGATGGATCCCAAATTTTTTATACTTTTATTCATGTCTCAAAATAGGAACCTCGACAGTAGATTCCATGGCTAATCTCGGCAGTAGACATTGTAACGCCCCGATTCTGAATTTCCCATTTTGTTGAGTCTTTTGATTTATTTGATTGATTATTATTTCATTGTGAAATTTGAATATTAATATGTTAAGTGTACATGTTATGATATTTTATTATTCAGAGAGTTTTGGGAATTCATTAGAGGGTGTTTTAGATAATCCTTGATTAGTGTTATTGGTATTGAGAGAAATAGAATAGAAAGAGTATAAGTGGAAATAGAGAGAAAAGAAAAGAGATAGAAAGAAATAGAGGGGAAAGAAGAGAAAAGAGGAGGAAGAGGAGAAAAACCTAGAACCATCAAGAATCAACTTCTAAGCTTCGATTTAATCGGGTAAGGTG